ATAAAAGAAGAAATATATTATGGAAAAGTCCAAATATCGGTGCAAATATATTTTTAAATCAGAGTTTGATAAGAAAAGTCCAAATATAAACAAAAGGAAGCTGCAATAAACAAGTTTTAAATTCACACCAAATTATATAGTAATTGAATTACTTCAATGGAAAAATGTTGACGCAAAACAACAAATAATCAATTGGAAATAATGAATTTGAGATCGGTGAGTACGATAGCAATAAAAAAAAATTGGGAGGAAAAAAATGACAAAATTATGAAAGAGTAGAAAGATGGAAAAAGATAAGGAGTAGACAGATGTGAGGAGTATGGAGAAATTGTAAAAAAGTCATTAAATAGGGAGAAAATAGAAATAGAAAGCCATTAGACAGAGAATGTCAGATTGTTTAATTAGATAAGGATTTTGGATAGAGAATATTAGGTTGTTTAATTAGATAAGGATTTTAAATGTAATTAACAAACAAGAATAGATTTAGTAGATAAGATAAAGTAGTTGAAGTAAATTAAGTATTCAGTTATGATTCTTGTGCTAAAAAAATACATACAAATTCAGCACCACTTAATAAGTTCAGTAGAAAAATTTTTATTTATCAAACACCCAAAACATCTGAATGTCTGAATGAATTTAGTTTCAGCACTTTTTTATATTATCAATCAAACAGACACTAAGGGTCTGTTTGATAACATAAAAAAGTGTTGAATCTGAATTTTTTCAGACATTCAGATATTTTGAGTGTTTGATAAATCAAAATCTATTTGCTGAATTTGTTAAGAAGTGCTGAACCTGTGTGTATTTTTTTCAGCACAAAAATCCTAACTGAATGCTTAATTCTGATAAGAATCAATAGAATTACTTCAGCTACCTTATCTTATCTGCCAAATTTACCCTTGTTTGTTAATTATGTTCAAAATTCTTATTTAATTAAACAATATAATATTCTTTATCTAACAATTTTTAGTTTCTCTTTTCTCCCTTTTTAATGACTTTCACATCTTCTCCATACTCCTCATATCATATGTTACACATTTTATATTAATTTGATTTAAAAATAAATATTGTCATTTTCATACCTAACAATTTTAAACTAATTAAATCATAGATTCATTTCTTTTTTGAATGAAAGAATATAAGGGCAAAATTGTCAAATTAAACTTATTAAGCATTCAGTTATAAATATTTATCAAACAGTATAAATAGGTTTAACATTAAAATTCAGATATTCATATATTTTTTTCAGTGCTTAAAATTCAGCAAATTAATTGTTTCAGTATTCAGATTTCAGAATTCAGACTTCAGAATTCAGATTCAGTTTTATCAAACGGAACCTAAGTCAAGTCAAAACTCTCCATTTCAGAAAAAAGTAAAATAAAATTTAATATAATATCTGAAACGTGCAGTAATATAATATCTGAGTGTCGTCTTGCAATGTGGTGGTGCCTCTGTCTAATTTTGGAGCAAAAGCACAAAATTCTCCTTTGTGCTGACTAGTTAGAAATGCAGTTTCTTGAATCAGCTTGGAGTAAGCAAACGTGCGTAGTCAATTTCTTGAGGGTTCTAGAGCTAATTACTTCGATAGAAGTCCCCAAAAAAAAAAAAAAAAAAATGAAGAACTTCAGGCTAGTAGAAGAAAGGACTAGCATGCTGCTATTTCCAGAAGTGGTTGATCGACGTTAACAGTTGAGGAGGAAACAAGGACCCATATAATCACTAAATTTTACATCAGCATCTTAGAGAATTTAAATTGTTTAATTCCTATGTGAATTTCTTGCATTTTCTGCTATGATTTGGGAGATTTGACTTGTTCTGGACACTGAGATGATGTCTACTACTCCAATCAAAGAACCTTCCATCATACTTAAGGCCGAAAAAAATGAAGACGTGAAAGCCACAAACTGAGCACGTGTTATCCTAACTGATCATTGTGGATGCAGCAGGACTGTATCTGTATGGTTTCTTCATTTCGACTCAATCTAAAATCTCTTACTTATCTTACCTACGCAAGACAAGATTGTTGTCTGCTGCAAAATGAGCTAGAATGCAAATGATTTTCTTTTCTTGTCCAAATGTCAGTCCTTTTTCATCATCAAAAATCTTGACTCGAAACATTTCATCTGGCACCAGTGTATCATCCCATCATAGCATCATTTTTTGTATCTCGATTGCAAGCCCGCTTGCTTGAAATTACTCCTAGTACCTAAAGAACAAGTCCTTTTTTTGTTTCCTCTCATTTTCATCGTGGAAAAACCACCACAAGAGGACAATGTCCTTCTCGTCAACCTGCATCGTGCAGATTATTAATTTGAGGAGCTGAGTAATTATTCCCCTCCCTGAAGTGAAGTAGCTAGCTTGAACTCTTGCGGAAGCAAAATGGTGAAAGAGAAAGAATATAAGGGTAGGTATTTGGTCTCAATCCAAGCCTTGCTGCAACTTAGATGCTAAGCTCCAGGAATAGGTGAAACATCGAAGACACCAACCAAACTCCCCTCCTCCATAAATTCAGTTGAGACAAAGATAGAATGTTGAGTTCAGTTAGATAGTAGATAGGCAGTCTTCTTCGACTTCCAAACTTTTACTTACTTTTGTAAGATTTAAGGGACTAATCTAGCTTAGAATGCAGAAAAAGAAAAGAAAATGGTCTTGTAACTTACTGTTTACTAAAAGCTAATGATTTTAGTGAATTAATCTTCTTGATCTTGATGTCTCACCCTTTTAAGCACACGAGGAAAAAGTGTGTCCAACAATATTAAACATCGTCAAGTGCAAGAGCAAATGTTCCTATATAACTCACAGCTTAGTCTTGGCGGGGGCGCTGGACTGGAGGATGTAATTATGCTTGGAATAAACCTGGTCTGCTAAACAATAATATTAGTAAGTGTTAGCAATTAGGAACTTTATTTCTGCTTTTCCTTCAACCTTCCTAGCCGAATGATTACTGTCTCAATTCCTATGCCTTTTAATCCCACAATTTCGAATAATGAGTAGGACCTTTTTTTGATTATCTGTCTCTCTTGAATTGGCTACTTTCAAGCAAGCATGGGAAGACTGTGACAAAAGCAGATCCCTACAGTTTAATCAGCTTTATAAATAGTTCGAAATCAGAAAAAGACAAAAAAAAAATAATAGTAATAAGGCGCCCCATTTTTTTATTTTTTTCCTTCTAATTTTCTTGGTTAGATCAGATTTAGTTTTTTTTTTTCAGGATTAGTTATTTTCAATTACGGTTCCTTTTCAGGTTCATTAATCCAATTGTATCAAAACCTAGAAAACTTTTGAAAATTTATTTTGGTACATCAATTTCTTCTTGGTGCGCTGATCGATGTGCTCAAAGATCAAACTTTCTTGGAGATGTTTTATTCTTATTTGCTCTGTATGAAGTACATTTCTCAGTGGTACAAAACAGTACTAAGAATTTTTTAACCAATACATGTCGACACATTTCCTGTTTGGATTGCATTTTTCATCATTTTTTATGAAAAAATTACTGTAGCGATTTGATGTATGTAAGAAAAAAAGATAATAAAAAAATATGTTTACGAAAAATGACGTAATTTTTCAATGAAAAACAGCAATCTAAACAAGGCTTAAAGTAAGAACGGCACACTATTTCACAACAAAAAAAAAATTGTATATTTGAAACATGCCGTGAGGACTGTATTGATAGGTAATTTACCAGTGACCTGCAGTCCTGAGAATATACAATAGTTGTGATAATCAACAAGACTGCAATAATCATTCCACTGGCGGCCAAAAACAGGAAAAAAAAAGTTTCCTGCATTTAAATAGAGAGAGCCAAATGCAGATTGTTGAAAACAAGACTCTTCCCGACAACTGATATTTTATGCATCGCTGCTGTGGAAATTTGAAAGGTGCATATTTGAGGATGGCGACAACACAACGACCCTCAGCCTTACTGCTGATATCAAATCTAATCAACTCAACAATCACTGTGTCAAATTCTAACCGACGCAAAATGGCATCAGAATCAGACCATATTGAGCACCATCAACCTCCCACCGCCGAATCCGTTAGCCCATCATCATAAATTCATAATGGGATGAGAAAACGGATGGTGGTTCTGCTTTCACTAATCAAATCTGTAAAATCAAAGTAAATTTTGCCAGAAAAAAGAGAGAAATGATGCATTTCACTGCCACTGAAATCAAATGGTTCTGCATGGCCTTGCAGTTTTTAATCAGACGACAGCAGCAGCGGTGGAATTGGAAGCAATTGACGCAGCGCTGCTAAAAAGGAAAGCCACATCCAAATCCTTCAGAAACTACCAAAAAAAAACATGCATGGCCACCAGCTCACATGCCTAGTTAATGTCATATTCACTCCACTTCACCTCCCATGGCACTAATCACCCCGTACGATAGCGACTTGGCAATTTGATACATAAATAGATCAATTCATCCATTTTCCTCTGCTACAAAGCATTATCAGTTAGGCATTCAGACACAAACTCCTGAACATGTCACTATAGTATAATCCACTCTAATAGAAAGAAACTCATTCTCATCTGCTACAATATGTTCACAAAAAAGTTATGCAGACAACAACAACAAACAACAAAATAAATAAAAAGGGAAAGGAAAAGCATTGGGGTTTTGGGTGGGGGGCTCACATTACTTCTCTGGAAATAAAAAAAATTTATAACGAATTCTTGTACTCTAGTGAACAAGTATGAAAAGAATAAAGCAGAAAGAAAGTAGGAAAAAAAAAGGAACAACACAACGGGTTTGTCCAACTCTTTTACCATTTTCATGCTCTAAAAATTAGCAGAATCTTTATATTTATACTTTCAACAACTTTATACACAAAGTGCTCGAAATATTCTCATCCCACCCGAATACTACTATCACGAGACGCATCTGGTTCCACTTCGTTTTCCCAGATTCCTTTCTCATCAGTCATCACCCCTCCCCACAAAAACCCCCCCCCCCCCCCCCCCCCCCCCCCCTCTCCTTTCCCAAAAAAAAAAACCCATCCAAAAATTAAAAAAGGAAAAAAAAAAAGATCATACAGTATTGTGTTACTATTAATTATGCATATATATATATATATATATGCTTCTCTATTTTCTCCATCATCATCATCATTTCTCCCTTTTTTTTTTTATAGGGGAAAAAAATTTGTAGATAATCCTTTCGATTCAACAAAGATTGTTGAATCTCCAATCGAGTCTAACTTCGTTAGACCCGGCAAAATGGTGGTTTGGCTTCTTGAATGATACGATGTGGCTGCTGACCATGAAGGCCGTTACACGTTCAGACACTCTGATATCCTCCATCTTTAATTCATGCAACCTCTGCACATATTCGGGAACGTGTACTAGGTCCCACACCACCCCGACCCCACCCGCCTTCAGAACCCTCACCACCTCCCCCAGCACCCTCATCCTCTCTGCACCCGCCGCAGCTGATTTCGCCCCAAACTCCTTCCCTACCGTGTGCACGAACACAGACGATACCACCACGTCGAAGTAATTATCGCTGAAGGGCAGCGTCCTGGGGTCACCTGCCCGGCACGTGACATACTCTTGGACCCCCTCCAGCCCGGCTGTCCTGAGGGTCGACAGGGTGCTCGGCCCGTTCCTCCGTGCCCCAGTCGGATCCAGCCCAACCACCCGCCCCGACGACCCTGACTTCTTCAGCTGCATAGCCACCGCGTTGAGGAGGATTCCCCGGCCGCACCCGAGGTCGAGGGCTTGCTTCACCGACGACCAGTCGGAGACCGAGTTGACCATCCGCTGGGCCATGTCCCAGTGCAGTGAAACAGAGGAGTAGAAGAAGTTGGCGGCTGCAAAGAAGAGGCAGACGGCGGAGAGGGCGGTAACCGAGCCTGTAAAGCCCGCGATGAAACGGGCCAATCCGGGCCCGATGATGGGGAGGAAATGCTGTGTGAGGAAGCAAATGGGCTCGAAGTAGAGGAGGAAGAAGACGGAGAGGGCGGAGAAGAAGACGGCATGGATGAGTAGGAAAAAGGGTGTATGCCAATCGTCCATGCCGTAGATCGCATAGATCTGCGTCCAGTCTCTGCCGCTTTTGCCCATTAGTATCAACAAGAAGTTACCACCCCAGTCCAATAATTCTGCAGACTCACTTATTTCTTGATCAGAATCTGCAACAATTCAAAACCATTCAACTGTTAACACTGTTAAAGAAATTCAACATTGAGATACATGGGAATGACTAAACCGGAAAGTGGCGAAGTCATTGCGGGATATTGAGCATTGAGGGATCGGAGCTTACTTTAACAAGATGGTTGATTAGCCATTTTTTGGTCCTCCCCCCCTACAAAAAAAAAAAAAAAAACCAGCTGAAAACTTTCTACTTCAGGCAGTCCTGACGCTCACTCAGCTGAGATTCTGTCGCAAAAATAGAACCAGAATACGCAATGTTAGAATAAGTAGCTGTAAAAAGTCCAGTAATGAGTAAACTACCGCTAGGATGTAGAGGAAATAGCAAAAAGATTTGATTTTTGTGAATTTGAAACGAGTTCAACTGGACCAAAGCTCCAAAAATCATTTCTTGATACAGAAAAACTGAGGTTCAAACTGCAAAACCCAGGAACCGAAAAATCCAAAGGAAAAGTAAAAAGACAAAGTTGGAAACTTTCACTTACAGAGTGATGAGATGGTTGGCTCAGAAGCAGAAAAACCTGCAGTCAGATCTGTATGGGAATGCAGAGAATAAATTGGTGATCCCAACAAGGAAAATGATATTGATGACAAACTGAAAGTACAACTCTATCCACTGTTTAGATGGAGAAGAGGAAGGAACGTTGCTCTTTTTAGCAGTAGCCCTCCTAAACGCATCCCACCTACAATTAAAAGCCCAGTCTTGGCCCCAGTTAAATTTATAGCATTACTGTGCATAAGTGATAAGGGTACATCTATGGCAGCTTTTCGATTAGTGGAGCTCTATACCTCCAAAATAATCTGAGCTGAATAATCTGAAAGAGATGAGAAAGGGCCTGTAGTAGATATTAATTGAAGTAGTCGTAGTTAAGACTTGAGAGGAAGAAGCAGCTTTATAATCTTGAAAATCTAGCAAGTTTTGGCCGACTGTTATTGAAGTTGAGAAGGATGAGAGTTAAGAAGGTTTCGAATTTAAAATTGAGTAATCACGCGTTTATGATTTGTCGGTTTCATTTTTTGAAAGCTTATATAAAAAATCGTAGATAAGTAGAAAGGTGGGAAAGTAAGGGATTGGATGTTAAGCACGCAGCAAATCAATATGAGTGACTGCTACTCCTACTCCTTTTTAAGGTTCGAGAGTGGAGTGCGGTGTCATCCATCGACAAAGATATAGCAATTGGGTTTTTGTCAAAAAAATATGAACAATTAAAAATTAAGACGTCTAGTTTTAATTTTCATCCATTTGGCACCAAGCTTATCAAACCCACAATTATATTTTTTAGGGTAAAATATACTTTATCTTTACGTGGTTTAGTACTTTTTTATATAACTCTTTTATAGTTTGAAAAACTATATAATGTCGCTTTATCGTTTGAACTAAAATGTTAAAGTGACGAAATTTGCATTCCATAACAGGACCAATTAAAATGTCAAAAGTACTCCTCTATAAAGTTTAAAATTATTAATTAACTACCAAGCGATTATGTTATATATTTTTAAAAATTATAAGGGAGCTATAAAATAAAACATTAAATTATAAGACAGCTATGTAGTAAAATACAAAATCATTAAACGTTAAAGTGTTATACATTTTATATTTACATATTTTGATCACTTCAGCGATTTTAATTTTTAGACAACAACGATATTCTCGACATTGCCTTGAGTTCCGTTATGGCCAAAATATGCGTTACTGAGTAATTTTCCCGTCACTTTGGTACCTTAATCCAAATTATAAGGGCATTAAGTATGACTTTTGAAACTATGGATAAATTATATGAAAAATCACTAAATCACAAGGGAATAAAGTGTATTTCACCCTAATTTTTATTAACTATTTCATGGCTAAAAAGGTTTAACCGGATTCGACTCTCATAATCATCATGAGTTAATCACGAGTTGATGCACGTCCTTAACGCATTCTTATTGTTTCACTGTTCGTGTCAAAACAAAGTGCCTTCTGTACATGTGATAGCTTGATGTAAAAGATACATAAGTTAAAGCTCGAAGCATCGTTAATTTGACAAATAAAAAGAAAGAAAAGGAAGTAACGTGATACATACAAACCTTCTTTTTTTTTTTTTGTAAAGCACGATACATACAAACTTAAACGTTGTCGGCCAAGTAAACATTGGAATTGATATTCCAAATTCTCAGTTAAGATATTCGAAAACGCTCAGGATCATGTGTTTGTGTATGGGGATGGATGATAACATGTACATTTGGTGAATTTGTATGTGGTGACCGAGTAGCCCCAAGTCCTGCATAGAATTTTCTTTTCATGTATTGAACACTTGCATTCGAGAAACCTTGTTTGGATTGCTTGTTTCCGTCGAAAAATATTATCGTTTTTCGTGATCACATTTTTCTATCACATTTTTCCCTCACATATATCAAATCGCTACAGTAATTTTTCCATGAAAAATGACGGAAAATGCAGTCCAAACACAACCTAATCTCTCGGCCGGGTTTAGCTGAGCTGTTTTCCTGATGCAGTTCTGGAAAGTCATACAGGGAAAGATAGAATAAAATAGGGTGCTACTTTTATCATTTGAAGTTTTCCATGCAAGCTCAGCAACTTTCATATGGCCATTGTCTATGGATATGACAATTTCTTCATTCCCCTTTCCTTGTACCACCAAGAATAATTATAATTCAAATTCAAAAATAGTTAATTAGGACATATTTTTCAATTCTCCTTTATTTTTTTTTTCAATATTATACATGATAGTAGAATGGTTACAACTTTCAATGCAGCTCTAGCACAATACTAATCCACTAGTAGCTAGAAGTAAATTTTTTTTTTGTCACGACTAATTCAATGTAGAATAGGTAAACTGTTGGCTAATTGCATGTAAAGATTAAAGAATATTTCATCCTTGACGTATAGTTTATGAAATTTAGTGGGCAGCAGAGTAGTAAACGTTCAATAAGACAGTCAAATTCTGCGGATTAAATCCGAATTTTCATGACACTTTTATGCAAAAGATAATCTAAAGTCTGCGCCTCTTCATTCCTTCCCCAACCCCACCAACACGAATAAGATTTTTTTTTTTTGTTTAAAAAAAAAAAAACCATTTGTTTGTTTCATATCTCTGTCATGTGTATGATGTATTCCGCTTAAATTTGCTATAATGTTGATGTTCTTTAAACTCGCAAGAGAACAGAAGAAATGCCCAACATTTTTGAATAACTTGACATACAGGGACAGGTAGGTGGCGCTAATCAAGGGGCTTTTTCAGTCAAGAGAAAGCAAGCAACACGATTTTTCATATACTACTACTACTCAGTACTCACAATACTTCCAATTACAATACTGAATGAGACATATTCTTCCTGATAGGGTAGCGTAAAGACCATTATATTATTGGTTCTAAAGCTCTGATCCCATTTGAGAATTCAATGTTGTATTTGGGTTGCATTTTTCGTTATTTTTTATGGAAAAATTACTATAGCGATTTAATATATGTGAGGAAAAAAGGTATTAGGGAAATGTGATCACGAAAAACGATAATATTTTTCGAAAGAAACAAGCAATCCAAGGAACGCCTTGGATTTCTTTAGCACAGCAGCAGTGTATCTTTGAATCCCACGATTTGGTGGATAGCTTTTATTTTGTTTCATTATTGAGTTCTTGACTTTTACTTGCTACTGATTAATTAATCCCTTGAAAGAGAGAGAGAGAAAAAAAATCCCTTAAATAATAATAATCTTTTCAGATGGTACCTTTTTTGTCAACACGTCTTTAATCTTAAGACAACTATGCCCTTGTCGACACACTCAAACTCACATAATGCATGACTGCATTCTGGTCAGCTGAGTCATTTTCATTTTCTTGGATTTCTTAAATAAAGCTTGTAAATTGAAAATGTGGGCCCCAAGAGTAGAAAAACGAGGGAAGAGAGGAAGGAAGCTGAGGAAGGCGGACAAAAGGACGGTGCCACCGGCAGCAAAGCAAAGCAGTGGGATGTAACGGAGGCATTTGTCCTCAGGAGGAACTGGTCCAGTAAGAGACTACTTTCAGAGTTGAAAGTTGGAACTGACTGACTGGGCTTGTGTACAAGCATCACTCGTCACCCACAATTAGACATTTCTCTGCCTCTCTGGAACGCATCATCTAGATTCTAATATATTTATACTACTGCTAATTACGCATAAAAATGAAAAGGCCATGCAATATCAACACATTTTAAGCAGTTTCAACTATTGTATTCACACTTGCTTTGCTTTAATGCTTTCCTCAATATGCCAATGCCTTAGATTAATGCAAAGTAAGGATGACTACACACGCAATAATAGAAAATGAATGCAGTTGTTTGAGGTTTGCGTGATAGGCCGTAACCTAGAGTACCAAAGAAAAAGTGGAAAAGAGATTAAGATGGAATGTTGAGAGTCAAATAATTTTGGCTTTTAATCAATAAGTCCCAAATTTTAAGGTCTGAAAGGAGCAAGTAGAACATATAATACTCCATACATGCCATCTATGACATGAAGTCTACAATATAGGAAATCTTTTCATAACAGAAAGAGAAGGCCGGCTTTTGAGGTTTACTCGGGGTTTAGGTTTGTAAAGTCACAAAAGTCTTACGAAAGACTTTGACAAAATAACAGAAAAAGAAGTTTAAAGTCCAGTCCAATAATATGGCACGTCATACCATATGGTTTTTAATCTTTTACAAAACTAAAAAAGTGGAAAATACTTGGTTAAAATGGTGTTATCACGTGTAAGGGTACAAATGAATCGAATTTTGACCTAATCGAACTGAGACTCAACTTAGTTTTATGAAACTCGAATTCGAACTCTCAATGTAAAACTCAAGTTCGAGGTCGACTCAAACTCAAGTCGAGCTCGAACTTAAAAAATAATAAATAATTATTATTTTTATTTTTAAAAAATTAATAAAATAATAAATTTTCTTAATAAATAATAAAATGTTAAGAATATATATATAATTTTACTATTAAAATAAGAAATAAAAAATATATATAATCGAGCCGACTTGCGAACTAACGAGTTAAGTATTTTTGAATTCCAGTTCGACTTAGTCAACTCAAGTTCAATATTGACAGAGCTCAAGTCAGGTTCGCACTCGAGTTGCTCGTGAGCGGTTCGATTTATTTACAACCATAATCATATACAATAATCACTTCACCTAATTTCTTTTTCAATACATATACACATACTAATAGGTTAAACCAATGAAATTCCGCATATGACATGAACAAATGCCACGACATAAAGCAAAAATTTTGGGATTTTACATTTATTATCATAAAGAGAAGCTGAGAGACGGAGGAATTAATTGGATGATACGGAAAGAGAGAATGCAACTGAGAAGTCTTAGGTTCAAGACCTCCCACTTAAACTAAAAAAAAAAATTAACTTTAACAAAAATGAAAGAGAACCTACGAGTTAAACCATGGCCTGCATATCTAACTATAGTTAAATCGAGTTAAATCTATGGTGTTTTTGGATAGCAATAAAATAGTGAAGGAATCCGTATGAACATGTGCCAGATTCAACCACTGCGCAAAACCGTCATTTAACAGTAGTATCTTCCATGACCAATCCGTTGACTCCATTGATGCAATCTATTTGAAAAATACTACCAAATTCAAAAAGAAAAAAAAAAGGGCTTATTCCTAGTTCATAGATCAGATTTTATTAGCCCTACTAGTCAGTGGTCAACCGGGTCGCCGGCTGGGCTAAGCCAGATTCATAAATTAGCGGTATTAAAATACATCCAGTTAGGTACAGATTGCGGGTTATTTGATCAAGAAATTGCAGACAAGCCAACCACTTAAATTCATATCTCAATAAAGTTCGCCGGATGAAATGGCATTAGAATTGTAAATTCGGGACAGCCGACAAACGTGTTGAAGATTCTTTGAATTTTCTCCGAACTGGGTTAGGCGTTTACTGTAACTTTTGGGTCAGAACCTTTCTGAATATCCTACATGATTTAAATTCATGGCAATTGTTGCTTCAGTTGATGTATATGTGTTGTTTTGAGTATGACAGTTAGGATAACCTCTTATGTTTCAAGGTCCTTTATCAAATTCTGACCTCTTTGCATAATGCAAGTTGACTCA